CGCAGCCTGTTGGCTCTAGCGCGCGCCCTTTGCTCCCTGCAGCCTCCGGAGCAGCGCTCGAGGACAAGAGCTAACCGCCTTCCCCGCCCCCAGGCGCTGGCACGCGCCGCTTTCAGCTTTACCACCTCCCGGTCAACCAATATGGGGCAACAGGCGCGAGGCGGCAGCGGCTGCCCGCGCAACAGCCCCGCCCCTCAGGTGGGGCCGATGGGATTCCTGGAAGGGAGCGCTGTGGAAGTGCAGGGGAGGGGCGTGTCGGGATCCCCCTGCCCCGAGCGGCGGGCGGTGTCACTTACGCTCGGTGCAGTACTCGCCGGTCCAGCCCGGCAGGCAGGCCACGCTGCCGTCCGGCTCGCACACGTAGTGGCCGAAGGTGTCGTTGCGGCGCTTGCAGAGGCGGGAGCAGCTGTCCCCGTAGTAGTGCTCGCTGCAAATCACCCGGTAGGAGAACCGCAGCTGGGTCTGCGAGCTGCTCTGCACGTCCTGGGACCAGTTCTCGCCCACCGCCAGCGGCCGCTGGATCGCCACCTGACTGATCAGCCACTCCTCGGCCGGGGCCCGAGAACCTGCGGCACACACACAGCTCGGGCTCAGTGCTGCTGCGAGATACAGCCCCCTCCAGCTCCCCCGCACTGCATCCCCGAGCCAGTGCCACCCCCCAGTGCACCCCCAACCGGTGCCACCCCGCAGCGCATCTCATTGCCATCCCAGTGCTGTACCCTGACTCTATGCACCCCACAGTGCCATCTCCTCAACCAGTGCCACCCGCAACTGCTCAATGCAACTAGTGGCACCACCTCGGCTAAATATCAAAATGTTAAAGATTTCTAAAAACTAAACAATGCACGTTACTTTATCGATGTAATGGCACCGATCCTGATCCCAGTGATAGCATTACTATTTTTCCATTTAAATGAAAAAAGGACCAAGGTCGGGCCCGGAAACAGTGCATTAATCATAGCAACACGTAAACATCACTGTATTGTTTACGTCAGTTAAAGGGATAATTTATCTGACGTAACTGGAGGGACAATTTCAAAGAAGCATGGTGCATTCTGCCATTTGTTTGCATGCGATAGGGAAAAAGGCACACACAATGTGCTAATGCAAAGCATACCAGCGTGGAGTTCAGGAACAGCACTTCAGCTATTGTCTCCAGTATCAATGATTATTAACCATGAACCTAAGAGGCTTTGCAGAAAGCTTTTCAAAGTGAGAACAGTTGTGCTGTTGAAATATCCTTTTCCTCTATGTCAGAAAAACATCCCAAAGCCATTATTCCTTTTCCAAAGGGCGGAATTTGAAAAAGGTGTAAAATACAGGAAAAGGCAGTCATGACTTTTTGGCAGCCTTGTAGTTTTCTCACCAAAGAGCTCCTTTCTTTCCCACGCCAAAAATAAACTGGAGGAAACGCAATTGTGTTGGAGATTAGGTAGGGGACAAAATCAAAGCAAACCTGATGGATATCATTTAGGGAATAGCTCCCGATTGTAGGATAAAGCTAGCACCGAGATTATAGTATAAACATCGGAATTCAATAAGGTCAATTTAGTTTACTTTAAAACTTTTCTAGTGACGTTGACAGGTTAACTATTTCGGATTAGTTTACAGACAAGTATCGAATTTTAGGAAACGGTCGCCCCCTCGTGATTGCTAAGTGCAGTGTCATATTCACCTTCTGGAAGGTAATTTGCAGGAGCATGCCAGGCTTCAATGATCAGTGAGAAAGTTCCCTGCGAATGGAAACAAAACATAAGTGAGAGGAAGATACAGAATGTAAGACAAGCGAGATCTTGAGTTAGATTGATCAGAAAAGGTTTTGGTCTGTCACAGAGTCTTCCTTGCAGCTGAAACAATTGGGTGAAACAAGGAAACCGTAGTGCTGCCAGGTCGGAGATACACATTTTAATTAATCTAATTGCAGATAGCATTACTTTGTCCGAGTCAATGAAACGGAGCTTCCTTAGGGCTGTTTTCATCTCTTGGGAAAACGTTTCTCTTGTCTTTCACTGACAAGGGCATTTTATTTCTCTTTTGATGGTTAGAAGGTTTCTCTCAACCCCCCCCCCCCCCCACACACACACACGTTTTGTTGCATGCAAATTTTCCCAGCTTGCATGTATTTACATCTCTCTTCAAGTAATACTGACATCTATGCTTATAGACTGGATGCAATATTCCATCTCTTTCTTCTTTTCAATGAAGTTATGGAAATAAGTCTAAGGACGAAAGTAGTTTGTTTTCACTAAAGATTAACAGCGCACTCTGTTTAACCTTTTATCCCCCCTCCATAAAATTTAAATCATGTTTAAGGTGGGATCTCACCGGCCACGTGAAGTTGAAGGGTAACTTAATGGGGCTTCCAAATCTCTCCGTTTCTTTGACGCTGAAGGAGTTTACTCCCAGGACTGGTGTGACGATGCTCCCGAAAGTACAGGAACCCGGAGAGACCACTGCCTGAAAATGCTTCAGACAGACGCGAAAGAAGGTCCTACAGTGGGGCGAACACGGTTTTCCGCTAGCCAGGGACCCCTGGCTATTCGCAAACTCGTGCAGCTCCAGTTGGAAGACGCCAGAGCCGGACACCCTCTGCACAAAGAGGAGACATACAAAAGAGCCACATCAGCGCTTACCCCAGGTTTTGCCATACAACTGGCTTCCATCACCCAATTACATTTAGGACCACTCATTCAGTGAACCCCCCCTTTTTTCAATGCGTGATTACCTGCAGCAAAATCATTAACAGAAACGTCAAGCCAAAGATGCGCAAAGCTGCCATCCTCCTGTTATTCAAGGCTTCACACTTTTACTGGGAATTGGGTTTAATTTTCCTCCGATATTCCTCAATTGGTCCAAGTAAATGCTTCTTCCTTGAGACAAAAAGTCGTCACAGCAATTCAGCTAGAACACCCTGTCCTTCCAATTATTCCCCAAGCACCAGCAGAAAATGGAAGGTATAATCCAGGTGTTTAAACCATCCCCCTCTGGGAATTAATCCTGCAGCCAACGACCAAACTCTGATTGCTTTAGTCGCCTTTATAAACTCCAAAGCCGAGTGGATTTGGTGAGAGACGCACAGGGGGAGTGTTTAGTGTTGAACCGCTCCTCCTTCACCGGAGCTAACAGCGCTCAGTAAATGGAAAACTTGCTTCCCTTCGAGCTGTTTATATAGTTGCCTCTTGTCCTCGCAAGCTCATTATGTAAACTGTCAGTCAGACTCACGGGCGATCCCTCCCCCTTTTTCATCTTTCCTTTCTGGAAAAAGAACCAAATGTTGTGGAGAGCCCTCATATCCAGAATTAATACCCTGCTGCTGCTGCTGCTGCACTGACCACCAAGGAGTCGAGCTGATTATTAACAAGCCAAGCATCTGTTGAGATATTTACAGCACTCACACTGGGAGAGTTCCATCGAAAATCAGACGCTTTTCCAAGGAGAGAAGCTTCCAAAAGTAGCCAAACAATAGAGGCTAAAATATGAAAAATATGTTTTTTATTTTACCCTATCGCCATTCAGCTTCAAATTCCTCCCAGAGACAAACGATTGCTAAAGACAAACATTGCACAAAGTAGTACAGCCCTTTAGTGACGAAGTTACCTGCCTTGCCTACTTGTGGTGATAGCAGGTAGAAAGTAAAAGTAAAATCGTGCTTATACGAAATTGAAACACTGTAAATTTTATCACCGCTCTAAACTCCTGCAATTTTGCCTCTCCCTATCCTCCTGGGTCACACATGTTAATCTTGAGGTACACGTGCCGAAGGCCTCTGGGCATCTGAATTCGCTCTTTTAGTTATTTTTAATCACAATTAAGGAAATTCACCAGACAGTCAAGAGAGGGAGCAGAAAAAAATAAACAAACAACCACAAACCTCCATCCACATTCTCATTTGCTCTCTCAAGCTCAATTTGGTTATGTCTTTAATTTCTGCCTAACCGTTTAAAGAAGGGTCCTGTAACAGGTCACAAATCGGTTACAAAATCAAGCAAGCCATTTTGCTTCAAAAGCCTGGAATCCGTTTGCCCACGGCCACATTCATGTTGACAAGATAAACTCAGGTGAAGGAGACCTTCAGGGAAAGTTAAATCAAACTGGAACTGGGAAAATGTAAGATCGACTTGGATTATTTTGGGGACAAACCTAGCAAATCACTATAGAGTTTGTCAAACAGATTTTTAGTGGCTATTTTTGGGATAAGAGTTGTCCCCTGCTAGTTGTAAGGCTGGCGTGTGTCAGTAAAGCCGCCTGATTGCAATGTGTGCTTATTGTTGGGTCGCGTGTCCCTCATTAAAGCCAAGCACAGAGAAGGCCTTTCATGTGGCTTTTTATTTCAGCTTGTTAAAAGGAGGGGGTTGGGGGAAGATAAACCTTCAGCTGTATGATAATGAGGTCTTGCCACCTTTACACCACGGCCTAGCTCATAAGGCTATAACCCTTTCTGCTGCAGATCACCTGTATAACAACCAGTTGGTCCAGTCATTTGGAAAATGTTCTGTCAATCGGTGATACACTTTTATATAAAGGTGTTTCAATACAATTCGAACTCCCAAATCCACTCTCTCTGAAAAGCCCGGAACCTCGCTTATTTTGATGGGAGGAAACCGATAAATAGATGTGCGAATACGATCTAAACTGAGATGATTATTTAGCCTCATTCTTAGATTTTCATCAAGTCACTTGTTTTTAGAAGAGCTTTGGGACTTGGAACAGCAAAACTTGGGGGGCGAGGGAGGATAGAACTTTTGTGAAGAAATATCACTGCTACATTACAAATCTGAAATGCTCGAGAGGGGCAAATCGTCAATTTAGACGTGCCCAGCTGCAACCGAGAGTTGCTGAATTGCCTGGAATGGGCAGAACTGTAATTCCGGTATTCAGGTGGGTACTGAAAAATTGCTTGCCTCAAAAACCGGCGTAAATTTCTGCTGCATTTAGAGTCAGCTACTGAAAATAAAGACACGCTGAAATTCGAATCGTGGCGTTTACTCTTGAATTGAGGCCGGAATGATTCAGCACAAACACCCCCAAGTAGAAGGGCTAGCCCTGCAGGAGTGGAGCCGCTTTACACCGCACCTGTAGCATCTAAGACTGTTGTTCTCTTCTCGTCCCCAGTCGAGCGTGGTCCAGCAGCTGCTTTCTCCTATAGCACCAGTGAACTATAGACCGACTTTCTCCTTTTTTTTTTTTTGGTCCTTAACCCCTTCTGTACACTTTAGTCCTCTGAGGACTCTCTGGCTATGGTATGGTGCAAGGATTACAGAAGGATGTTTGATCAGGCACCTCAAAGCAAAGGGAAGACGTATTTGTGATGAGATATATACCAGGTATCTTACATAAGCACATAAGAGGGGCTGCAAGAGAGTAAGCCTTTGTCTCTCCGGATGAAATTGCCTAGTAAACAACTCGGAAGGAGGAATGTGCCAGAGCCTGATGAACGCGGAATTCTGCAGCGATCTGACTAGCAGCGCTCCGCTTCGCCAGCAGCAGCTTCAACTGTCAAAATCAAATCTGATGCTAATAGCTTCGGTACTAAATAAAATGAGAGGCCAGATAACATCAGTGCTTGATAAATGGTAATGAGTGCCTAACCTAGGGGAACAGAAGGGCTGTGGGGCTCTTTAATTCACTATTGAAAGGCTAGCTGGGTACTGCAGGCTCTAGCAGATGTTAGTATGTGTGTGTTTTGATTTTTGACTTGTATTGGAGGTTTATTAGGCTAACCAGAGCCACCCCACGCATGGCCACTTGGCCCAGGCACCATCTGGCACAAGCAGGACGGCGTGCAGGAACAGGGCATCGCATTGGTGCTGAAGATCCACAGGCAGCATCTACCATATGGACTCGGTCTATTCTTCCGAGCTAATGTAGGTTAAAGCAAGACAAGCTGATCTCTTCTTTTCACAGCTCCGCCAAAGCTCCCTGAAATCCTCCCAACGTGCACCTTTGCAGATAGAATTTCACATTGAATCTGAATGCTTTAGGCATCAGCTTCCCTGCATTGATCAAAATATTGTGATGGGAGTGTACTTTCCAGTCCCCTGAAATGTAACTGGTCTGTCTTTACCTACTTAGCGCGCCACTATTTTTAGTTTCAAACCTTTCCCTTATTTCTCTCCAACTGCCAGAAACTGGAATTGCTCATATTTCCCTAGTGTCCCCACAAAATAAATATTTCCGGGAACCCTGTTGGTACAAAACAGATGTAAAATCCTCCCTAAACGCCAGGGATTATTGTGATTGCAGCCATAAACGAGGTTGTAATAAAATAATAAATACGAAATATAATAGACCACCTGCTGCATGTTGACAAAAAAGTTTAGATAAAAAAGCTGCATTAATAGTATCAAGCAGCTGGGTCTAAAAGTTTACAGAGTGCAGGTGAGAAGCAGAGTTTCATCTAATTGTTTGTTTGTTTTCTACATACCGATTAACACGCATTCTTAGGTCATTTTAGAGTGCATTCTACGGTATCTTTTGTAGCACCCTTATAGGTTGGTCTCCGCTTTTTAGAAACTCTGATTTCAGAGGTTTATAACTTGGTCGTTGAATGCCATTTTTCATCTCAGGTGGATTATTCCTCCCCCACTTTCTCCAATCTATTGCTCAAGCCCTTGTAAAGCTCGAGACTAGGAAAATGGATAAGAAGGGATTTTGGATTTCTTTTTATCTCCCAAATTTATTTATTTTTAAAAAATCAGTTCGGTTCCTATCCCTCCAAGATTTACACTCATGCTTAACTTTAAGCAGAAGTCCCACTGAAGTTAATTATGTGGTAAGTGTTTGTAGGCTCGAGGCCTTAATTTGTTTTTTAAAAATGATTTTTGCAGAAAGTGTTTTTATGTAAAGAAATTGGAGTCAATTAATATGGTGAGGAGAAAGCGCTTTGAAATTACAGATATGTTTACTTTGCTTAATAGCTACAATGCATATAGGAAACTACTTACATTATGCACATTATTTTTACTAATTTTCATAATTGGCTTGTTATTTACACAATACATGGGTAGATGTTTACGTAAGGACATAATGTTTTGTAAACTATTAAATTCCAGTGGAGCCAATCGGATTACATTGCTCGTTTATAGATCCTTGGGAGACGCACTATATACAAAACTTTCAAAGTATTTTTAATTATTTAACTATTTTTAATTATTTAATCAAATTATTTTTAAAGCTCAGCGGAGTAACCAATCTTTAACGTCCTGCTCCAGCATCCAACATGTTCAGCTATTCACAGTTTTAGAGCACTGTTCACCAATGTTATACTTTCAAAGTTTAGTAGCTGCCATTTTATATCAGATGAAATTCAAACATGGCATATTAGTTGCCAGGCCAAATGCATTTACCCTACAAAACAATAATTGTTCTTTTAATTAATCTAGTACTGGTGAAAGGTACCAGACTGCTCAAGTTTTCTATTCACAGAACAAGTAATCATAGCAGTGGGAAAGAAAAATAATGTAAATTTACCCAGGCTGCCCTTCTCATCCCCAAGGATCTTTGTGTTCAGTTTCCATCTCCTCCTCCTCCTCCTCCTCCTCTCTCTCTCTCTCTCTCGGTGAAATTCACCTCTGTTTTGAGGGAAGCATAAGGCCTGTGCATCATTTAAGTCCAGGTTAAGCCCTGTGTTGAGGGTTTAAGTGGCATTGCAGGAGTACAGAGGTCTTGTGCTGACTCTGACAATGATGTAAACGGATTCGGTGTGTTATGTAATGTGGACTGCTCAGCAACTCATTTCACATAGGTCAGTGCATAACCATTAAAAAAATCAGCTTCTGGTCACTATTGGGCACTGGTTACTACTGACCTCTTCATTGTGATCACTCAGCAGAATTCACACCAGTGCCCTAGATTTGAGAAATTATGTTTCTCAGTAACAGTATTCTGAATTACTTAGTATTATTTGTTTTTGGCTATATACTTTATACTTATCTCGGGGTTTCAGATGATTTTTTTTAACCTCTAAGCCAAAATTGGCAAGACAATAATTAATATGTAGCAAGGCCTTTTATTATTTTGAAAAACAAAACCCGACGAATTTGTGATATCACCAACATGTGTACTGTTATAACCAGGTACGGTTGGGTTAGGGTAGCCATTATAAGAGCTTGTT